CCCGGGTTGCCTATAGAGCTTCCATCAAAACTCAATTTAGTTTCACTCTAGAACAAGGCGGCGGGGTCCAACTTTCCTGAACTGATGGGGAGAAAGATAAGGAACCAGCTATGATACTCCATCCTCTAGTGAAGTCAATGAAAGAAGTCTTTAAAAAGCTTCAAAGCTTTCAGCCAATGTATGATCCTGGTAGTGATGCCCTCTATAAGTGTTTCCTTGGTTCTTTACTGTCCTTGGAAAGTCCTATTATTTCTCTCCTCCCACAGACTGTAATACAGCTGCTCTTCTTGTTTTCCACATCACCCTGCCTCTCTTCTTTGGCAACTGGAAGAAGCTAGAGTCGAAAAGGTTCTGCGTACACAAAGAAAGAGTCCACCTACAACCAAAGAGAGAGGAGAACCAATCCCAAATACAAGAAATAAAAGGATAGGAAATAAATAGATGAGCCACTGTCTCTCCATTCTGCAGGCAAAGGCAATAGACATGAGGGGAAAGGCACCAGCCTTTCCTTTTTCTTTGAAGAAGATCCAAAGTATTGACCTTTTGGAGAACCACTTCCTAGCAAAAAGCCCTAAGCTTTGGTGGAAAAGGAGTAGCCCACACTTGTTTTGCAGGAAAAGGGGGCACAACATCAGAACTAAGTAAGGCATTTTAAAATGAAGAACAAGAGAAAAACCCAAAGAGGACTCTAACCAAATTCTAGTATCTAGGCAAGACTGATCTAGGAAAACTGCACCCAGAAGAGAGAACAACTCGTCTGCAAAGGCCACTTATGAGTCTCTCAACCCTCTCCTTAGTCCCAGATCCCATAAACACTCATTCACACGAACAGAGGTAATGACCTTCAATTTATTTAAAGAAAGAGAGTATAAAACCGGGAAATTGTCCTTAAGAGGAACGTTCCCAACCCAAGTGTCCTCCCAAAACAGAATTTTGTTACTCGAGCAAGCATCATACCTTACGAAAGGTTGAAAAGAAGGTAGGACTCCAACGATTGCTTTCCAAGGGGAGTGGTGAGAGGCCCCGAGGTCGACACCAACATCCCATCCATTTGCTGCCATACCATGAATGCTTACCACCACCTTATGCCACAAACTCTCATGCTCTAAGGGAAATCTCCGTAACCATTTTCCTAACAAGGCTAGGTTCCTTAATCTAACATTACCAATGCCTAAGCCCCCATCCTCTCACCTGTGACAACTTCCCACTTCACTAGGTTATCCTTTTTGAGTCACCCGGTTCCCAAAGAAAATCCCTCATCAACTTTTCAATTTGACTTGCTATCTTCACAGGAAGCTTGAAAGTGGACAAGAAATAAACTAGTAGGTTGGCCAAAGTAGACTTGATTAGAGTGATTCTACCCCCCTAGTGAGATGTAATTTCTCTTCCATCCTACTAGTTTCTTTGTGAGTCATTCCAAAACTGGGTGCCAGAAACTCTCTAATCTAGGATTTCCCCCTAAAGGTAAACCCAAATAAACCATTTGTCAATCATTTACCCCACAACCTAGAGATGTTGCCACAGGTATCACCTCTTCTTCTTGTCAGTTTAATCCCGCTACACAACTCTTATTCTAATTAACTTTCAAGTTGGAAACCCTCTTGAAGTGTGTCACTAAGAGCTTCAAATTCTCCATTTCCTCTGGTTCCCCTTCACAAAAAGAATGATATCATATGCAAATTGTGTGACTATCATTTGATGTCTCCCTATACTCCAACCTTTGATTAAATTTCTTGAGTTAGCCCTAGTTATCAACACACTCAAAACATCCGCTACCAGAGTAAAATGGAAGGGGGACAAAGGGTCTCATTGTCTGAGACCTCTCTTAGCATGAAAGAAATCTCTAGCTACATTGTTAACTAGTATGGAATAGTGGCAAGTAGTTATACAGCCCTTAATTAGTTACACCACCTCTCTCCAAAACCTCTATTTCTCAAAACATCCAACAAGAAGTCCCAATCTACCAAGTCAGTCTTTTTTTAGGTCAAGTTTACAAATCAAGCCCTTTTCACCTTTTCTTTTCTTGTAATCCACGCACTCATTAGCAATAAGGATTTGGTCGATGATTTCTCTCCATGCTACAAAAGTCCCTTGATTCGGTGATATTAAAGATGGGAGTACTTTTTTTATCCTCAAGGTAAGAACTTTAAAAATTAACTTATACATGCTCCCAATCAAGCGAATGGGTCTAAAATCCTTAGGATGGTGTGCACCCACCTTATTAGGGATCAAAGCTAAAAAAGTCACATTTGCACCCGAATTAATTTTCCCTCTTTCAAAGAATTCTGAGAATACCTCCATCAAGTCCTCCCTTAAAATGTCCCAACAATCTTGATAAAAGGCCATTGTAAAGCCATCTGGACCCGAGGCTTTTGACCTATCCATAGAGAAAAGTGTCGCTTTTATCTCCTGACTCTCAAAAGGTCTCTCCAAGGACTCCATCTACTCTCTGTCACCCATCTGCCATTCAAAATCGACTAGAGGCTCTCTCTCAAACTACTAGGGTTGTCAAAGATGGATTTAAAATGCTCAACTAGAGCTCTTGCAATATCCTCTTCACCAGTCAACACTTCTCCATTCCAATCCAAACTTCCTATCGTATTCTTCCTTTTCCTTCCACTTGCCAAATTATGAAAAAATCTTGTATTACCACCCCCTTCTTTCAGCCATTTGCACCTTGATTTTTGTCTCCAGCTTGTTTCATCTCTTCTAAGGATTTCCTCTAGTTCGACTTTTAACCTCCATCTCTCCTCCCTCTCTACTACCCTCATACTCCACAAGCTTCCACTAGGTCTAAATCTTGAATCCTTTTAATGATGGTCTCTTTTTTTCGTCAACTCTACCGAATTCCTCTTTATTCTAATCTTTAATCCTAACTTTCAGCTTTTGTAGCTTCTCATAGAATTTGTAACCTTTCCATCTAAAAGCTACTTGGTCCTCATCCCACCAATCTTTTATTTTCCTTCTAAATTCCAGGTGGACAGCCACATATTTTCAAATCTAAACAAGCACGGACCTCCCAATCTTTCTTGTGACAATCTAATTGGGCAATGATCCGGCATAGTTCTAGGTGGAGCTCTTACAGCCATCCCTTTCCAAAATTCCCCCTAATCTAAAGAGAGAAGGAATCTATCCAACTTACAGCAGAGGAGCTCATCTAGAAAGTTAGACCAAGTGAAATTAGCTTGTAGCATTGGCAGCTCTCTTAACTCAAAGGAGTCCACAAAGTGGGTGAACTTCCTTATGCTTGAGGTGATCCTATGGTTGGGGTTGTTTGTTAATCACATTAAAATCACCACCCAAAATTCACGAACTGTCCCACAGTCCCCTTCTAGCTACAAGCTCCTGCCAAAGCTCCTCCCTTTCCCTGTACGAATTTGGACCATGAACATTTGTTAGTGCCCATTCCAACTCATCCTTTCTCCTCCTAAATTTTGTTGTAACCGTGAAGCTACCAATTAATTCTTCGAAACAATCCAACTCTTCATTTTTCCAGATTGTCAAAATCCCCCCTGAGGCCCCCCAAGATTGTGCAAAGTCCAGCTTAGTCCTCTAGAAGCCCAAACACTCCTCACCCATCTCCTATCTACTTTGGAAAGCTTTGGTTCTTAAATTAGCACAATGTCTTGTCTCTCTTTTCTAAGTAATTCCTTAATCACTCTTCTTTTCCTTGAACTCCCCAAACCTCTTACATTCCAATTAACTATCTTCATCATGAAATCAGACCTTCAAACAACCCCTACCTAAGATTCCCACCTAATCCAACTTCCTTCTGGTGCCACCTTTATCATAGTCCACTCCACACCTAAGCTTCTCCACCTTACTCAGTGTGAGCATCGGAAAAACGGCTCACTTGCCACATGGGCTGGATTTGGAGTCGCCACCCATCAGTTTAAGAAAGGGAGGTGATGGGACCTCTAGGAATCGTATCAAAATCATTTAGGTTCACTAGTGACTCCAATAGCCCAAGGCACCAGCTAACCAGTCCGAGTAAGACTCGGATGGGAAAGGGAAGGGGTTAGGCACTCCTCTCCCAAGTCCAAATAGGTGGGGCCCACATGGAATTCCCAAACAAGCATAAACACAAAATGACCAATTCTTTAAACAAAAAGATAATAAAAAAAAACAAATCACATGAACAAACCAACACAAAAGAGAGACCTCCGTATTTTTACTTTTATATTTTCCCATTTGTTTATTTTTTGCTTCTTTTATTATTACATTTTGTTTTTATTTTTCATTATTTATATTATTTTTTTATTATATATTTCTGATTTCTACATTTTTTACTATTCTTGTTATTATTTTTTTAGCTATTTTCGTTTAAAAACCCTATTTGCATGTTTATGCACCAATTATTCAACTAACCTATTATTTCCCTTTGATTCTCCCCACCTGTCTAACCATTTTCTAATTACTAAGCTAGTCACTATAGTCCACAGATTAAACCCATTACCACAAATTCTTTTATTGTTATACCTTTTCTCAACACTTCTTTTTATTTTCTTCTTACATGATCATTTATTGTTTACTATTATTATTTATTTATATATTTATTTTCAGAATGTTCTCCTTTTTCTAGTTTAGTCTACCGCCAGAAGGGATTACTTCAATCCTTCTATATCTTCTTGGTGACTACTCCTCTCTCCCTCTTTTGCTAGTTGGCATCTGAATAGATTACCTCAACTTTCACCGAGCCTTCTTGTTAGCTGTTCTTTTCCTGCTTCACTTCTCATAACATCCTCATAAATGAAGTCTACATAGCAATGCAGGGTTTAACAGCGACGGGCTGAATAAATCTGATTAACAAAATGATGAGAAAACAAATCCGCATACACAAAGCACTTGAAACAAATGATTCAAGAGAATTCAAAACCCGAATCAGCATGCAATAGCTGAACTGAAGATGCCTACAACTGGGTATAACAAACATCAACCATTAATCCGAGAATGAGATATTGCCTATTAATATTAGAAGGAAACCTATCCATTTGCTATACCAGTAAAATCAGAAGAGTGACTGACTTAGTTACAAAACTTCTCAACCAATGCGTTCTGATTGAGATTTTGGCCTTGACGCGATCGATGCCGCAGGGAAAGGAGGAGCTCTTTATATCTGGCTGTTAATCTTCAGACAACATCACAATGAGAGACTTGTAATGCTGATACAACGATCTTACTAGACCGACGACGATGACAGAAGAGCAGGGTAAATCTCGACTAAGGTGAATCAGATCAGAAAATGGGAGGGGGTTGTCGCTGTTAACTCCCACTGCTGCCGCTGGTCCCGATCGTATTTCGGCCTGGGTTCACTGCTTGCCTCCGCCGCCTCCTACATATAAAAGCCGATCGAAGTGGTGTTGCCAGTCTGCCGTCGCTGTGCTTCGTCTCGAACACGGGAGTGTTCCAGATCTCGGCAGTGACGAAACAGAGAACGGAAAAAGAAGAAAAGGGAAGGGAAGGGAAGACGAGAGAGAGAGGGAGAGGATGAGAGGTTAGAGGTGGAGGTCTGAAATAGGAGAGAATCCACCGCTGCTTCAACAGTACAGTTTCGTAGGGTGTAGTTGCAGTTTCGTACATTTTGGGAAACTCGGGGACATTTGTGTAATTCTGGGAAATTTGGGTCAAACCGGGACTAGGAGGGTCAAACTGGGTCTTCTTGTTCAACGATGGGGATTTTTGGGCCAAAAGTGAAGGGTTGAGATAGGTTTAACGATAGAGTAGGATCGTGCAAGTGTGGACCAACAAGATTGGTCAAAATAGAATCTATTTGGATGAAGGGGTAAGTGAGGGTATTTTTTATTGAAATTTGGTAGGGTTGGGTTTTGGAACAACCTGAGTTGATAGGGTTGGATTGGCCCAATTAGGCCCAAATTGGGCAGATCAGGCAAGGGCTCGATTCGGTCAATTTGGAGTCTTGAAACGGAATTTGTGTGTGATCAAGGGGCAAACAATGTCTGTTTTGGATGAAAATTCACAAGGTAGGGTTTTCAGGTAGTCTGAGGTGATTGGTGAGGTTAGATTGAGCCAAGTAGGCCCGGATCGGGCAAACTTGGAATTTGGTCAATTTGGGACCTCTAAATAGAATCTAGGTGTGATGGACGGGTATACAAAGGTGATTTGGGCTGAAATTTCACAAATGGGTATTTGGGGGTGTCTGGGATCTGAGGGTGATATCTGATCAGTCCTATAGGGTAAAGATCGTATGAATTTAGGTCAATGGGATGTTTTGGAACATAAATTTGGTTTGATATAAGGGCAAGTGGGAGAATCTGGGGGTGAAACTTTATGGGGAGGTGTTTTGATGTATTCGTAGTCTAAAGGTGTGGTCTGATCAGTTCAGATGTGTCAAGATCAAGGTCATATGGGTTCTAAGTATTTATGCTAACGAGAGAGGTTGAAATGGAATATTTGTTTGATGAGGAGGTAAACCGAGGGGGTCTTGAGTTAAAATTTTATGGGTAGATGCATGTTTTGGGAGGTCCTAGGTCTAGTGGTTGTGTCTAATCTAATGGTTGAGATTTAAGTGGGGGTCAATCGGGGCCATCGGATAGGTATCAAACAAGTTTAACAATGGATTTGATAAAGTGTTTAGGGCAAACTAAAAATTCAGGCAACGGACCAAGCAGAAATGGGGTATTGACACTCAACTTCTTTCTCCTCTTTGATGTCTCTCCTAAGACCTTTTTACTTTCCTCTTGACCGGTGGCTCTTTTTTTTTTACTCTTCTTCTGCCCCTTCTTTTGTTTTTTTAGCCGTTGTACCTTTTTCATAGCACTCCTTATCTTTCCCTCTAGCTGTAAGATTTGAAGTGTTAACCTCCTCTTCCTTTTCCATGTTATTGCCTAATTCCTCCTCTACCAGAATATGAAAGGTTTGCATTACTAAGGCCCAAATCCTTTCTCCTTCCTCCATTGCAAGTTCTACACCTCCCACCTCCCGTAAAACCTCTGTTATTTCCAACTCACTGGCGCAGGCAGCATCTGAATGGACATGGCGTCACTTGTAGGCTGGACAAAATCAACAACAGGGGAAGGGGAGGGATTAATACAATGAACTTTATCAAAAACAGGGGATTGACTCAACATATCAGAAGTTCCAACATCCGATATCTTTCCAGACCCAAAGGACTTGTAAGGGAAAGGGCTTTTTTGTTATGGGTGCTCTCCTCCAGGTCGTCTTGTGACACATTAAAAGGGGGACAAGGAGAGACTGTTTCTTTGCCTTTCGAATTGGGAGAAGATAAGCTTGGACTACAAATTCCCTAGCTTGGCTCTAAACTCAGAACAGGTTATCCTTCACCTTGAATTGAAAGATTTACCTTACCTGTAGGGCGACCCTCTGACAACTTGCTCCTACCATGATCCAAAGAAAGTGCTACTTTTATCGGTGATACATCTTTAAAGAGAAGTTGTGTACCAAAGTTTGCCTCTACCAATGATGGCTTCGGAACACTCTTTACGCTGCCTAGGCTGGACTCTTCAAATGAAACCACATCTTCAGACTATAGTGGTTAAACTACCCAATCCGAATCAAAAAGTTCATCATCTACCCTATAGTGGTTAAACTCTGGGTTGGTGCTTTTAGGAGTTGTGGAGTATGAGACCAATCTCAGTCTCCAATCAAAAATTTCCGTCATCGACTGTTTTGCAGTTGGCTTCTTCAAGATCTGGCTCAAGCTAGACGATGATAGACCTAGATTGTGGTTTATCATCTTACCCCTGCCCCTGTCACATGACCACTTAAAGGCGCACATGACCCCTCTCTTATAACCGGCCCATCTGGTAAAACTGATCTCCCCACTTTTGAATTTTTCTTACAATTAGGCCCACTCACTGGGCCCTTTAAGTTATTTGATTCGTTAGAGGCCGGCCCAACTTGGTTTAAAGCATTCCCCCTCTTAGGCCCATTTTCTAAAGTAGGCCCATCTAAGAGTTGATTCGCAGGGCCTTGCCACGTGTTGATCCCAATTCAAACCTCAAAAGTTTGGAAGGTTCAACCAATGGCCCAATGTTGGTCAAATAGGTTTGAACAGCTGGTTGTGCATTTACTCCATCTGTCAGGGCTTGGGCATAGGTCATGCTCCCTCATTTTTCTTGCCTTGCACGTAACATTTTCCCCTGCTAGCAAGCCTTTTATATTAGGAAAAGTACCAATCAGCCCAGATCAGAATTCTCTAGCCCCAAAGTACAGGGTAATGCATCCTGACCTGAATTGATGCCAAACTCACGGATGTGATTTATAGGGGGGCAGAGGGCTACTAGTAGGGGGGGCTGTAAGTCAGAATTCTACATCGTGTGTTTTTTTACTTCCTTTACAGACCTTCTAAAAACGAGTAAGTCTCTACCAATTTGAAATTGGTTAGTGATGATCGCCACCTAGATAATCTTCCTCTACCTTCTCTTCCTCCTCCCTTATGGACTCTCTCCACAAGCTAGCTTCAATGGAGGATAGAAGCCAAATTGAGTAGAAGCAGATGTTGGTAAATACTTCAATTTTCCTTGGGATTTCACGAGGCTTAACTCCTCCCAGTCTAATGGCTACTGATTGAAGATCTAAGATGAAAACACCATCAAGTCGGGTCTTACATAACGAAGCAATGGACATAGGTGGAAATAGAGGTGTAAATCGGGTCGGGCCGCCCACCACAATTTTGGACCGGCCCGACACGAAGGCTAATGGGTCGTGCCAAGCCCAGCATGGAGGTCCATGTCGTGTTGGGTCGGGGATTTGAGGCCCTTGGGCTTGTACGACAGCACGTGCCATGCCGCCCGCGGCCCGCGTGCTGGCACGGCTTGCCAGGCCCGTAACAGGCTGCGCTCGGCCCGCCCGGGAGTATAGTCGTTAGGAGTCTTGGGACTTGGGTGGTTCCCCCCCCGCCCTCCAAAGGGTCCCAATGGCTAGTTTCAGCTTTTTGGGGGGCATTTTAAAGAAATACCCCTCTAACAGCTATAAATAGCCATATTAGGGGGGTATTTGTGTATTTTGCTTATGGAGGGTTAAAAAATGACATAAATACCCCCCAACAGCTATATAACAACTAGTTTAGGGGGGAATTTTGGGCAAAGTTATAAGTAACTTTACAATGACCAAAATACCCCTCCCAATAACTAAATAACAAATAGTTATTTAGGCATTTTGGGTAATTGAATTATGTTAAATTCCTATAAATAGCCATATCCTCCACCATTCTCATCACACCAATTCAACAATTCTCCTATTAAGTTATTCTCTTAATCTCTTTAGTCTTTCCTCTCTCAGTCTCTCTGACTCTCAATCTCTTTTGGTCTCTCATAGATTCTCTACCATCTAAGTGAACTCTGATAGTCTTATAGTTTGATTGGCTGATTGTCTGATTCTCTAAGTTAGCAATTTGGGAGGCTTGGAGTCTTGGACATTGTCACGTTGAAAGGCTTTAATCGTTGAAATCAAGTTGGGATTCTGAACCGGCGGTTCGGGATTCCGAGGTAAGTCCAATTAAATTAATTTTATTTCTTTTAGAATTTGAAAAAAATGGTCAACTATTCCCAAAACCCCAAGTTTAGTAGCCTGATTTGAAAAATATTTAAAATAGAAGATGTTGAGGGGAAGGGGAAAAGAGTTGTTTGCCAAAAATGTAGAAAAGACTTTAGCTATTGTAGCAGTGATGGTATTGGTCATTTGACAGGACATTTTCTCACACATGAGAAGGAAGAAGAAATAACCCACAATTTAAATGAATTTTTGAAATAATGGAAAATAAAATTTAAAAATATTGGGAGAAGTCAGAGTCTCGGAGAACATTTCTCGCCACCAATCCCGCCATGGCACGTGATCCGTGATCTACTAACCCCTCCGGTGTCTACAGGCTATAGTTTCATTGGAGTCTTGTTTAGTTGTTTTAGTGCAGGACCTGCAGGTACCACACTACGACACTACCACTGTACCAGCCTACCAGGGTTGGCTAGATGCAATTATGAATCAGGATGCAGGATATAGATTACAACTTTATAATTACACGACAAATGAGGGCATGATACTACAGTACTACATACACTGGATATTTGGTTTTTCACCTGAAGAAAATGATGAAAGTGTGTGTGAATGCTTTCATCATAATGTATATGTAAATTTTGTTTAAGTTGTAAATTTTAACAAATAACCCACAGTTTTTTATTTTGTCAAATTATTATAAATATTGTTTTAATTTTATTTAATTTATTTGCCATTAATGTAACTTTGTATTTTTAATTTGTAACTATATAGTCTATAATTCTATATTGTATTTTTTATATTTTATTAATTTATTCCATTTTCATATTTCATTCATCCAACTATCCAAGTATGAAGCTTATGAAGTATCCAACCATTGTATATTTCATAATTTCAATATTTGTATAATTGTAAGCTTTGTAATTTGTATCATTATTCATTCAAATTTAAATGAAATAAAATTTTTAAATTCCTATTTGAATTGATTTATACTTTTATTTATTTATTCTTTGGGTTATTGGGTAATCATAAATTTGTTATTAATTTATTATTCGTTTCTTGTCC